GCTGAGATTGTTGAAACCGTTAACCTAGTGCCAAATAAGAAACTCTGTTCTTCACTAGTTTACGGTTGTATCCTTAGTAATCTCTTTTCTAAAGCCGAGCTTTGAGTTGGTCTAGATGCCTCCTTTCCTCTTAAGAAACAAATCAATCTTCTTTCTTTAACAAGAGCGGGATGGGTCAAAAATAAAGAAACCGGTGAATGGGTTCGATCTTCTGCAACTACTCCGGGAGCTAGTTCTTCACAAGCTCCACTCGAAGCTGACGAAGATCCAGAGTTTGAACAATTAATGAGGGATATCGATGAAGCCGAAGATGAGCCTGAGCAACCCGAGGAGCACGCACAACAATCGACTCAAATGCCTCCATATTTTCAATCCTTTATGGAGACATTTGATTTCCGATATGCGACCATGGATTCGCGCTTTACTTCTATAGAGTCTCATTTATCCACAATGGGAGCTCAACAATTAGAGATTCTCCGAGAGATGCGCACAAACAACATTTCAATGAATGAACGTATTGATGCACTCTCACACGAGATGGCCGCTATGCGAGCTCGTTTTCCTCCTCCCGATCCTCCTACGGATGTTTGATTCTATATTTTGCTTTGAACTCCAAACTTATAGTTTTAACATTTTGAATATTTTGGAATGTTTGAATTTGTGGATTGTGAATTTGTTTGGATTTATGTTTGGTGTGATTTATTCATTATTGCATTATTTACATCATTATTAGCAATATGACCAATTTTGCCATATCACATTAAATATGAATATTGATTATGAAGCTAATGGCTAACGTTTCTCTTGATTGTGATCTTAGCAGCTTATGCATACATATACCTAATCAATTGGCTAAATGTTTTTCACGTTTCTTTGAATCTTTTTGATTTAACAAAAAGGGGGAGAAGTGTTTTAAGTGTGTTTAAAAATAAGTGTGTTTTAAAATGATAAATGGGAGAAGTGTTAAAGTAAGGGGGAGTAATTTCAAAACTTGATTTCAAAATCTTAAAATTACTAAAATGTTTTGTTATATCAAAAAGGGGGAGATTGTTGAAAACATTTTGATATTTCGATATAACAAATTAAGTTAAATGAATTTTAAGATTTTCCAAATGATTTTCTAAGTATATTCGATATAATTATTCGAATATCAAAACATTACTCCAAATATTTCAAAAATCATTTTTAATCCTTACTTAAGTGTAAAATTAAGTTTTAATCTTAAACAATTTCAAAATAATCTTTCAAAGTATTTCGAACCATTTCAAAGTCAAAAATTCCAGATTGCTCAGAGGGAACCGATTCCCCTTGAATGGTTTGGCTCCGAGATTTCCAGAATGCTCGGAGGGAACCGATTCCCTCATAGGGGGTACCGATTCCCCCCTGTTCAACGGTCGAAATATTTGAATTTTACACTTAGGGAACCGATTCCCTATGAGGGGGAACCGATTCCCCCCACGCTCTAAGTTGTTTTATTAATTGTTTTCACACTAAAACGGCTATATGATCTTCACTAATCATCCCCAACGTTCATAAATGATTCAAGGTGTATTTAAACAAGTTCTGAAGCCCTTGATCAACAAGAAATTATAGAGAAACAAGAGAGAAAGCATTAAACACAAAGTTTGTGCAAATCAAGCCAATTTTCCTTTCAATATTCATCTTGCTTTCAAAGAACACCATTTGTGCTCATTTGTAATTATTTGTGAGTGTTCTTTTCTTGTTCTAGAATTGTGCAAACATCTTACCTTGTGAGGTTTTCCTTGTAAGTTTGCAAATTTGTAATCTTCTCTTTGGGAAAGAGTGTTCTCAAGAATTGGGGTATATTCTTGAGGGTGTTGTAAGGTTATCTCTTTGGCCTCAAAAGAAAGAACAAATTAGTGAATTTGTTGGAAAATCCTTAGTGTGGATAGCTAAGGTAGTGGACGTAGACTTTGATTGAGAAAGTCGAACCACTCTAAATCGCTGTGCAATTACTTTCAATTTTCTGCAAAAGCTTCCACCAAATTTTTAATTACCAATTCACCCCCCTCTTGGCCAATTCCGTCAATCGATTAACTCAACATAATGGCTACTTGATTGTGATCTTAGCAGCTTAAACTATATATAATCAAATTGACTAAGTGATTTGAAATGTCTTTTTGATTTAACAAAAAGGGGGAGAAGTGTTAAATGTTTTAAATGCGAGAAATGTTAAAGTAAGGGGGAGTAATTTCAAAACTTGATTTCAAAATCTTAAAATTACTAAAATGTTTTGTTATATCAAAAAGGGGGAGATTGTTGAAAACATTTTGATATTTCGATATAACAAATTAAGTTAAATGAATTTTAAGATTTTCCAAAAAGATTTTCTAAGTATATTCGATATAATTATTCGAATATCAAAACATTACTCTAAATCTTTCAAAAGTCATTTTTAATCCTTACTCAAGTGTAAAATTAAGTTTTAATCTTAAAACAATATTCAAAATAATTTTACAAAGTATTTCGAACCGTTTCAAAGCCAAAAATTTCATATTGCTCAGAGGGAACCGATTCCCCCCCAATGGGGTACCGATTCCCCCTGAATGGTTTGGCTCCGAGAATTCCAGTATGCTCGGAGGGAACCGATTCCCCCCACTGTTCAACGGTCGAAATATTTGAATTTTACACTTAGGGAACCGATTCCCCTAATGGGCTACCGATTCCCCCCACGCTCCAAGCAGAAATATTAATTATTTTCACACTTAAACGGCTCCAAAAACTTCATTAATGATCCCCAACGTTCAGAAGTGATTCAAGGTGTATTTAAGCAAGCTTAGAAGCCATTGATCAAAAACAAGAAACATCAAGCAACTAGAATCAAGAGAGAATCAAAGAGAAAGCATCAAACCTCAAATTTGAGCATTTCAAGCCTATTTTTCATTCAATATTCATTTTGCTTTCAAGAACACTTATTGTGCTCAATTGTATTCATTCTTGAGTGTTCTTTTCTTTGTTCTAGAATTGTACAAACAATCTACCTTGTGAGGATTTTCTTGTAAGTTTGCAAATTTGTATTGTTCTCTTTGGGAGAGAGTGTTCTCAAGAATTTGGGGTATAATTCTTGAGGGATTGTAAGGTTACTATTTCTCCTCAAAAGAAAGACAAATTAGTGAATTTGTGGAAAATCCTTAGTGTGGATAGCTAAGGTAGTGGACGTAGACTTTGGTTGAGAAAGTCGAACCACTCTAAATCGATGTGCAATTTCTTTCAATTTTCTGCAAAAGCTTCACTAAAATTTTAATTGCCAATTCACCCCCTCTTGGCCATATTCGTCAATCGATTAACTCAACAGAAGCTATGCAATTTATGTTTCAAGTTTTTCATAGTTCTTCATGTTTTCCACCTACAACATTAATTTAATAATTTCATTTACACAAAAAATTATTTGATTATTTAGATTTTTGATAAAATATTATTTAAAATTAAAATTTAACAATTTTAACAAAAGATAATAATAAATATGTAATATATATGTTTATTTTTTAATTTAATAATAATATATATCATAACATAAAAATAAATCATTAGACGCTTATAATTATTAAATTAATATATTAAAACTCACTCAAAAGATAATCTTAAATTAATGTTTTTCACAGTGAAATAAGTATGAATATTTATATATATGAATTGATACATAATGATAACCAAAGTTTACCGGTTACCAACTTTTTTAATAGTTCTTCATGTTTTTCACCTACAACATTATGAGTCTGTCAACATTTCTAGTAACTCTTTACCGAATTTGTTAATTATCTTATTAAATTTCCGGTCACACAATTTCTTAACTGTATATTAGTCCATCTTTCATGAGACAAACTCCTTTGTCACATAATATTTTTATTTTGATTATTTTTCTTGTTTCTTTTTAGTCTGGGTTTAGCCGTTTAATGGTTGGTTACTATGTTGTATTAAGAGACTGAATGGCCGCAGGAAAGTAATTTGCGTTTGTTGATTTGGGAAATTTATGATATTTTCATATTATTATGAGTTAATGGTACGAATGTTTATTGTATTTTTGTTGTTTTTAATGTGATATTTTTATTTTTTTTTTAAATTACTTAATATATGTTTGTAATTTTATTTTAAAAAAATCTCTTTAAAAATCTCTTTTAAGCTTACAAAGAGAAAAGATTACTGACAAGAACTTCGTTATTAAATAGAATACTCAGTTAATACATGGTTTCAAATAATCTTAGGATTAACAGAGTCAAAATACTTAGTATTACCAGTACTAATAGCTCATGTTGCAAGATTACAAGCAATCATATTACAATCTAGTCCATTGTATTGAACACTAAACCCATTAGAATTAAACAACAATTGTCGTGCCTCAGATAAATGGATCCCGGTTGTTGAAATGTCATCAATCTCACAATGAAGTTTATTGACCAGTAGCTGAGAATTAGACTCAATCATCACTCGCTGTCATCCGCAATCCCCGGCTAAATGAAGATTGCGATAATTGCATGCGTCTCAGCGAACCTTGCTTCCACACAACCAGGAGAAGTCGAGACCATTCCGCTTAAGACCCTACCATTCGAGTCCCAGGCAATAACTCCAATAGTTGCCAGTCGTGTCCGTGGATCAAAAGCACCATCAACATTAACCTTCACTACATCATATGGAGGAGGCTTTCAGCGTTTCGGATCCAATCCAAGGCTAATCCCATCACGAACGTGACCATCCGTTTGTACATTTTATGTCATTTGAAAGGGACGTTTTTAAATAAATTAGTCTTATTTTTAATAGTTATATTTAAATTTATTCGATCATAAAATTACTTGACATGCTTACTTGATAATTTAATCATTTTTGTAATGTTGTGTTTAAAATAGACAGATTATATGCTAGTATTTAATCGTTTTCGTAATGTTGTGTTTAAAATAGACAAATTATATGCTTGTATACAAGTCACGATATTCTTTTTTGTCACTAAAGTAACGTAAATATCTATTAAACACAGATCCATCAAATAAAAATAAATGGTTCGATTGGGTGGATTAGGCTAAACGTGAACATATTAATTAAAAACTATGACAAAACAGGGTAGTATAGCAGAGGGATTTTGAACAATCAAATACTCCAAGTTAGACCGAGGCCCTTCACGCCCAATGGAATCAAAATCTCCATACGCCCCACCTGTGGTATTTGCAATACTCCCTGCAATTACCCTGCAAACTATAACAGCCCTTCTCAAGTTCTTCAACTTGAAAGATACCATATTATCACTCACTTCTTCACTGCAAGTGCTCAGTCTAACTCCATTTTTCCTAGTGAATTCCATGTCGAATCTTCAATGAATAATCCGACACGCTCGACAACTCGGCTCCCTGCAAAGCTCGGACACCGGTCTCGGCTTCCTGCAGCAGGCCGTCGTGGTGCCGTAGAAAAGTAGCAGCTCGTTCCCATCAGTGGTGCTCCTTGGATGTCTCTTGTGTCGTTGGTTGGATTTTACTATGACTTTTTCTCTGTAATCCTCGAACCTTTTGAGAACTTCTATGGAATTCTTCACTTTTAGAACCTTTTTGACCTTCCACGATGGCTTTGAAGGATCCATTGATGCTCTATGAAAGATCAACTCGATTATGTTCCTTGATGGATCACCAATGTGGAGCTCTAATGAAAAAAACAAACAAGCTAGTAGGGTTAGATTGCATGTAAAAAGGTTCAAAATGAACAAAGGAAGAGAAAAGACTTACCATAAATCTGTGTATTGGGATAGATTGGCCTAAAGAGTGCTTCTCGAAAGGGGTTTCGGAGTTGATGAACAAGTTGTTTCTCTAAGTTCTGGTTTCTTGAGTTCCTACAGGCTTTCTCTGGTTTTCCAACCACATCGGTGAGCCTGCATACACAGTTGACATTCTCCTTCAGAGAAACCCAAGCTGCCAGCATTTCTCCTCTTCTCCTTGTACTTGGATTCTTTACAAGTATTCTTTACAAGTTCCTTAACTTGAAAGGCTGAGGCAGAGAGAGAGAGAGAGAGAGAGTTTTGAATATTTATTGTGTATTTTTAATTGAGTAATGAAGAGACTAAAAGTCCTGTGGTGTTAACATTGTCAACGACAAAGCTATAGCTTTGGGTTTTGAGATGGTAACTTTGTAGTGGAGATATGGTTCACAGCGTGGCTGTTTTTCTAAACAATCCCTGCCAAAAACAAAGAATGACAAATCTCGTCTTACTCATTAAAAATAAAATAACATCTTCTTCAAATAAAATAAAATGAAGTATAGAAAGAGGATCGATCTACGGGGAAAAATACGGAAATTCAGCTTAAATGAATTTAAATTCAAATCGAGAAGTAGCAATTAAGCAAATAAAAATAAGGGATAAGCGTGATTTAGAAGAAGAAAAATAAGAAAACAACTAAGAGAAATTAATTAAAAGGAAAGCAGTAAAGCAGAAGAGAAATAAAATAAAATTTAAAAATCACAAGTAAATAAATTGCCTCGACCTAGCTTGCCTTCAATCATCGAAATGGATTTTGCTCCAAGATTCATGTCGGTTACAATCTACAAGGTCTAACCCATTGTAATTTGTCTTTCTCTCGTGTAACCGAATTTCCCAAGTCTATCTTTTCAAAGACGATTCTTGAGTGGATTAACCATATCTATTGTCATTAAAACAATCAGAATTAAACTGGGAAGGCCCGACTCGAATATTTTATCTCGTCGAGAATCGAATCCGATATCGTCTTTCCTTAGCGAACCGCCGCTAAGAGTATTCACAGAAGTCGAATTGCCATAGGTCGATCATTCTTCCCAACTGTATAATTAAACGATATCCAGACCAACAAGCTCTTTTTTATTTGAAAAACGTTTAAAATTGTAGTAAGGCCGATTGTCAAACTACTTAACCCGAAAGACTAAAATGTATACCAAAGGGATTTAAGCGATGTTCAATTCTCACGTATGGAATTAATTTGTACTAGCTCTCGACTTAAAAGAAATTAGCTATGCATGATATGGTTAATCGTACTTAGCATAGGTTGCAAAAAAATGATTTGAAAATAAATAAAAAAGTAAGAAAAGAAGAAGAAACTTCGATTGACAAATAAAAATACAAAAACAAAGTAATTCATAGATTACTTCAGCCTTACCCATGCAATGCAAGGGTATTTATAAAATAGACTTGTGATTTCCTAAAAATAACAAAGATAATTCAAAATAAAAATCCTAAATAATCCTAATTGATAATTTAAATTCAAATGTTTTAAAATCAATTCAAAGAAATTAAAAATCCTAAAATCTCTCTCCAGAATTGTGCTCAGTGAACTTGCTTTCAGAATCTTTCAGCGCCTTCCAGATACTGCCACGCCAGTTCCGCGTCGTGCCTATGCCTCCGGCTATGATCAATAAAATAAAAAAAAATGCAAAATACATCATTTTTCTGTCAATTCCAATAAGCTAATCAATGCACAAAAAATAAATAAAAATAACCCAATTCAATAGTGAAAATTTCTTTAAACATGGGAATTATCAAATAAAAAGTGTCAATCAAGCACTCATCAAAGACAAATTTGGGGAATTTAAGGGTTTTGGATTCTATCAACAGTGCATTTCTGACGTCTACCCTACTAAGACTTTAAACAAAACATCTAAATGTTCATTAGCTTCTGTATTTACTGCAAGCTAATGTAAAAACTAGAAAATTTTATTCAGTTCAAAATATAACCATCATGAGCATAGCGACCATGTTAATGACGTGAAAACTGAGATAAAACTATGAAGTTTTGGAGGGGTTAAAGCTAAAAGATATTATAAAATTACTTCATTAAATAATTTATTTTTAGAAGGATCAAAAGTGTAATCATTTCACTCTATTAAAGGGTTAAATTAAATGTTTATCATTATGGAGGGACTAAAAGTGAAATTTACCCATTAACTAAGGACTCAAGGACATTGTCTGCCCCTGATGACTCATCATAAGATTTGTTTCACAAACCTTCATACATTTTCCATGTATGTCGAACATGGATAAGAAAATACAGAGTTTAAAAGGATGTAAACTCAATGGAGTTTGCTGTAAAAGCACTCTCAAACAAGAAATTTATCCATGCAATCGTCAAGGGATGAAAAGTAATGCAGACACTCATGAAGATTTGTCAACAATATGTGACAAATACTGCAAGTTATTTTCGTCTTTGTCATAAATGTTATGTCCAGATGGTTCAGAATTCACATGCACCAAAAACAAAGTAGCAGTTAAATACATTCCCAACAAAAAGAAATTATAGCCTGTTTTGTCCTTTTACATCCCAGTACCCGCAACAAGTTGTATGCAGTTGAATCCAAGATCAACCTTCTTAGCCTTGGATTCTTCAACTATTTGGTCCATCATTTTATGTCTCAGATAAAGCCTCTAGCAATCATTTTTCTCTCTCTATGTGGATAATGCATGAAAATCATCCACCAAAAGGCTTTGTTTTGAGGCACAGTATCTGAGAGGCAATGGTCAAGAAGAGTACAGGTATACACTGTATAAATCACAAATTACCAAGACCAGATGGGAAAAACATGTTTCTTACAAATTCGATTTCGGGGACATGTTTTACAACACTTTCCTTTAAGAAGAATAATACATATACCAGTTCCACTTTTGTACAAACTCCCAAGTTAATAGAAAGACTGATTTTGCAGCAGAAGATAGTTTGTGTGCCGATTACAATATCAGCACAGATAATAAACTATTTATATAGAAGCGATATATTTTCAGAATTAAGATTAATAACCTTTCTTTTACCAGCCAAAAAGATGGAGAAAAGAAATAATGTCCATGTTTTATTTCTTGTACCTTAACAGATTCATGGACCTGTCAGTATTCTTCCCATGGTCTGCATATGCATAAGAATGATCTAGGGGTGTAAGTTCAACACGGCGGCCTTCGCTGGGTGTTTCTCTAGATCCGTACTGATTCAGGCCACCATTTGGAACACTATATTATGCTGTCATTGGAGATGCTTGAATCAGCTTGAAACTAGAACCACCAGTCTGAGGGTTGCTTTGGACGAGTTCAAGACGCAGTTGCTGATTCTCGTTCGAACTATTTTCATGAGGAGTAATCCCAACACCAAGATCAAGGCTAATGGCATCATTTTCTTCCGATGTAATCCTAGCTGGTGTATTTACGGCTCCGGTTGTATCATGATTATTGGTCCTTGCAGTAGGTACGTCATGATTGTGTTTTCCCTCGTACGTGGTTATAACAGCTTTCGGATCATGAGATGCCCTCTCAATGTGTTTTCTAACAGGGCAACCAGCAGCAGTGCACTTATAATAACTCCTACATAGAAAGTAAGTAGAAAAAAAAATATGATGAAATAATGTAATAAACCATAATAAAAGAATATGACCAAGACTCGAGAGTAGTCATAAACTGAATAGAAGATCCTGAAGTAAGTGCCTTGAAGTCTGCAAAAATTGGATCTAAATAAGCAAAACAATAAAACTACAAATAGAGCTAAGCACAAACTGAATAGAAGATCCGACAGACATTCGTTGTCTTCTCTAATCTAAGACTGAATATGCAAAAGCCAGCATGCTTTCAATGGAGTTTCATGCCAACCAATATGTGGTAAAAACTATGTGTTGCAACACATGACTATTATCATTTAATCAAAATTTCATGATGTGTACCTAGGATTAGGATTTCCTCTCACTACTTTTTGCCCATACTTGCGCCATCGATACCCATCATCCAGAATATCAACTTCACTCACAGTCTGTACAACAACACGTGGTTCCTGGATTGGCTTCACCACAGGAGTGATATCAATCTCACCATCCATCTTCCTGATCATATTCAGTAATATCACTTAGCCAGCAGACAAAACCAGAGTAAAAAGCTAAAGCCTCCAGTGACGATACCAATACCTTCGCTTTGAGAAACGATCATCATCATCAACATCATCCACATTACCATCATTAACTGCGACCAGAGATAGACCAGCTGTACTATCTGGCTCAATACAATGAGCCATCCGGCCATATATGCTGAATGACTTGTCTAAAACAGGGAAAATAAAAGATTATTTCGTAAGTAAGAAAGTAGTCGAACGAAACACAAAACAACTGTATGTTTTGAGTTCTCCTTACCATCTCTACCAGGAAAAGATAGCACCTTGTCGGATCTTTCTTCTTGTACAGACATGACATTTCCAGAAGAACACCGGCGACTAGGTTGAGGTTTAGGATGATCATGTGTACCTTTGTATATTATCTCTGTAATCTGTCCAGTATGAGATTGCTCAAATAGTTTTTTCACTTCACAATTAGGATGTGTACATTTGTAATAACTGCGAGGAAATTCACTTCCTTTAACATGTCTCTGTCCGTACTTTCTCCAGTTGTGTCCATCATCAGATATTGTGGATGAGACAGTTACTCTATGATCAGACTGCCCTGACTGTGTCCCATTATTTGGGTTCCCAATCTGGTTTAATTCGTCTACATCGTCTTCAGCAGGAACAGTAGCCACAGAAGTAGCTGTATGAACTGATACCAAGAGACTCAACTCATTTGAAGAGCCAGCCATCTCGCTCTTAACTGGAGCTGATAAGTTAAATGACACAGTCTGGTATTGACCTTGGATCCGCAGAGATTGTTCGCTTCTAAGATGGTTTAGATCTGCAGGTGCCTTGAATAAAGCAAAAAACCTTTAGACAAGGACAATACATATACCATACAAGCAGCGTCGATAACGAAAAATCTACAGAGAGAAGAATAACAGGATGCTAAATCAAGATTCCATATGAACACCTAACCATATACCTCTGGCTGTAGGCAAATATAATTGATTTTCCATTAATTCCGGGGGCAATGAAACAAGGAAAATATTATTTAAATTTAAATCTCTAGGTGTTCATTAAAATTAGTTAGGAAATTACCAGATTTGATTTAGGATGGGTCTAAGCTCAAAGCAGCTGGAATTTCTTTCGTCAATAGTATTGGAACACACCGCAGCCGCTGAATATGCACTAGAAGCGACAGAGCCATGTGCAGCCTGACGCTTAAAGAGAGAACCAGTAGTTGGTGAAGGCTCCGCCTGGAAGAGCAAGAAGCAAAACAACAAATTACTTGATCTAGTTTTACAAAACTACTTCACTTCCATTCACCGATAAACTTCTGGTTACTATTCTCTTCCCCATGAGCAAGATATGAAGTACAAACTCAGCTATCAATCTAAGACTAAACAAACTAATTCTGATACGATTATTTATTTCCCAACAGAACTTAAAGAAGGGAAGGGGAGGAGGAAATGTAAAGTATTCATGTACTTCCAGCTAACCCTATACTAGATGTGGAAAACAGTTTTGTTAAGCCTCCTACCAATCCCCTAACCTGCAAAATTCAATTCTGTGATGTCATATCATCCATTAAGATTAAGTAAACCTAGAGCTTAACTAATGAAATATAATCCTCCATTAAGTAGTCACAGGCAACAATGTCTCTTCATGTTGACCCACCTACTTTCTATTTTCCACCCATTCATTCCACTGCCTCCTGGCACCACACTTTAAACAAAACCTATCCTTTGATCTAAACCAAACAATTGCTTTAAGCAAGCATCAATTCATTGATCCACTCCACTCCACTTCGCAACCAGCATCTATTCCATATTCTCACCTTAGAAACTGGGGAAATTCTCTAGTATGTCCCCACCTATAAAACCACTTGAAATTTGAAAACACCAAATATATATAAAACGCCACAATTCCCATAACCAAAAGAGGAAAGTTGATACAAAAACAACAGTGCCTTTTAAAAGTAGATCAAAGCTATAAATAGATATAAAAGAGTTCAATCACGATTTTATACTTGCAACACAATAAACATAGAGATGCATATAGAAAATCCTTATCCCTCCTTCCACAGTATACAGATCAATGGACACTAGGGTGCCATATCTCTTAATTTATCTAATAATTGAAATATCAAAGCATGGAATCATTGCTCTTCTTCTACTTTTTTTTCTTTAAGGTCCCCAACATCATGAACCACTTCAAATATAAAATTCAAGCACTTAAAAGAATACATAAATGAAAATTTAGTAATCAGTTCTTTTCGCTTAAGCATCTCTTTAGCTGAAAATTAAATCCAATCACATCATTCACCCCCCACCCCCAACAAAAAAAAAATCCCCACTAAAAGCTACCTAAAAAAATAAAAATTAAAACTTTGAAGCTCACATTGTTAAATTCCTCGATCAATTAAAGAGAATATTGGGTTTTCTTTTTTTAAAAAGAAAAGAAATTTATTTTACCAATGAATTTTTTGAAAATACCGACGTTCCTATATTTTCTCAGGAAACAAGCATAACCCAAAATCGATCCAACCTAAAAAACATAAAATTAGAGACATTAAGATTTAAATTTTACTAAATACCATATTTAAAAATATCTGAATAAATAAACATTAACTGATCTTCTTGAACATTATAAAGGACATGCAATTATGATCATGGCCCAAAGTAAGAATTTGGTGACATTGTCTCAAAAAAAAGTTAAAAATTAACATCATTGCAAGTACCAAACAAACTTTATCTCGGCAAAAGTTTCTGAACATTCATGATTATTGCTAGAAAATCTTGTAGAATGAGACAAAGGAATTTGAGTAAATAGCTTAACTATTTATTTTAAATACCCTAAATAATTTATTTTTTCTTAAAAAATTCCTTGAAATTGATATCTATTAAAGATTCAAAATATATATAAATTTAAATAAAAAATTTTAACTGGAATTTAAAAATAATAAGAATGTTAGAGCATTAAAAATGTGTTTGATATAAACATCAAAAGAATGAACTGTTAGTAAAGAAGGTTTCATAAAAGAGCAATCTTGAAACTACTGTCTGCAGCTCAGAAAATAATAAATAACGATACCAAGAAAAAGAATACATCATTAACAACAAACCCTTCCTCTCATTACTCAGATTTAGACACATTAACTAAACCGAACTACAGAATGGGCAAATAATCAGTTCAGATATTACAATATATGGTCAATCATTAAATGTTTGTATCTAAAATAATGAATCCTACGAATCATGGGAAGCAAAACGCAGATAGGCCGACTCGGTGACGAGCAGGGACGAATCTATAACAGTCCCAAATTTTATTGGTATAATTACATTTTAGATTCTTTTTAATTTAAATTTTAGTGAAATGGGACATTTACTCTTCTCAATTTTTAGATTTAAGTACTCGGTAGAGTATTGTTCTTTTGATATAATACGTTTTAACCCCCTCAATGTTTGATCATGGCTCCGTCCGTGGTGACGACAAGAAACAGTTAGATGAGCGAACCCGATCGTTTAGAACAGCTTGTATGGCTAACCACATGAAATAGAGTGCTATATATTGGCATAAGGCAACAAAAAAGTGATTCCAAATCCCAAGCAATGTTGCCTGTATAGTTTGATTCTTAAAAACAAGTTCAACAGTTAGTGAACATAGAATAGAATGTTCCTTGTATTTGTGCTTGCTAGATTGAAAATTAAACCATAATTTACATATATACTCTGATTAGAGTTAGCAAAGTTATCGATAAATGAAATTCTATGTAGCCTCAGCCTGTCAAGAAAAGTCTGTCACTAAATTAGGTTTATGCAATACAATCTGGTTATGTCAATGCGAGGCCAATACCCTAGCAACCAGAAGCATCCCACGAGCTACTGTGGATGGTAAGATGGATGGTATTGTGGCGATAAACCATATGCACCGCCTCAGCCTGTCAAGAAAAGTCGTCACTAAATTAGGTTTATGCAATACAATCCGGTTATGTCAATGCGAGGCCAATACCCTAGCAACCAGAAGCATCCCACGAGCTACTGTGGATGGTAAGATGGATGGTATTGTGGCGATAAACCATATGCACCATAAGGAGGTCGGCTATCGTAATTATATGAATGGTATGCAGCAGGGTTTGGATTCAAAGGGAAACCCATAGGGGCTCCCGCTAAACCATAATTCGGAGCTGATGGGCTTGCATAAGGATTATCAGCAGGAGTAGAGTCTGGAAAGCCAAACGGAACGGCTGGTGGCCTTAAATATGAAGCAGAATGATCTGGCAATAATCCTGCTGGTTGAAGATGAGCTTGCTGGAACGGAGGGATCACGGAAGTTGTACCAGCAGCACTTGATGAAGGTACTGCATGAACAACAGATGCAGTTGTTTTAGGATGCTTGTTGACACTCTGCTGCTGCCTTCCCGGAGCCTGCTTCTTCCTCTTCCTGTTTGCCTGCTGAGCCACCAACTGATTGGCCTTCTGAACAGCTTGCTGCTGCTGCTGAGGCTTGAAAGCAGAAGGTGTTGCAGGGGCTTTTCTGTCTGCCTTCTGCTTCTCAAGCTGCTCAATATATTTCTGAAGGGGCTTGACAGCTAGTCATATGGACATTACCAATACACATGAAAACTTCATTTCTTAAAAGCTCCTTCGCACACCTAATAATCTAAATCAAGCATTCATGGCAATCACAAAACAATCAAGATCAAGTGCAGATCAATTAACAGGACTTGTTTACATAAAACACGGGAAATCAAGGAACATGATCAATCCCAAAACCAAATAAATCCAAATTCATATGCTAAGAATTGCATTCCATCAATAAACTAATAAACTTACCATGGATTTTGTCCCCTAAACCAATGGACCTACACAATACAGTAGCTTGCCGTAATCTAACAATGGTAAAAAGGTAATCAACAAGATCCTCTTTATCAACCATAGGTCCCAAGTTATAAGTTGCCACTAAATGCAAAACCGCCAATGTCTCCAAAGAGTTATCTTCGAGCAACCTGACCTTGTCATTCCACTCTAAAGCTAACTTCTTTGCTCTCTCCCTCACTTCTTCATTGATGCTTATACCAGTTTCCATGAACAGTTACAAAAAAACACACAAACCATCCTTATTTTAAGCAGTACCGGTTCTATCTCAGCCTTCGACAGTGAATTCTCAGCGTAAAACCTCTCCATTGCATCCAAAACCATTGCCCCAGGATCCGCAGCACTTTTCAAAGCACCGGGAAGTTCCATCAGGATAGCGTCCCACTCTTCTACACGGTATCGGTATATGTACTTCCTCAACCCTTTCCCATCCATTCTCTCTCAAAACTCCTTTAGTTCTGATCGAGCCTGTTAGAGATATAACAATCCGAGATAAAAAGAAAATAATTTTTTTTTATAGATTCACAATTTGCTTCCATAGTGATTCATACAAGTCGCGTCAAACAACATTCAATTCCTTAGCAGGATTTAATCGTAAAATTCATGTACATGAATCAAGAATAAAACAAACACAATTAATAACATGGAAAATATTTGATTAAATAATTTGAATAGAAAACCATAAATATATTAATAGAAATAAGTTAAGGCATGGAATTATGCAATTTCCTTAAGACAGATTTTCAGTCACTCCTTAGTGCTCGAGATCTTTGGGCGTTTGTCTCCCAAGATACAACAACGGGATGATCAACGAACAGTAGTACAATTGTTGATATCACGAACTATTCCTTATCTTCGCATATCACAAAAAAACTAGAGAAAAAATTCCTTTGAATTGGTTTTTGAGTTGTTTTTTGAATTGTATTAACCTAGTAGGTTAACACGGTATTTATAGGGAGTTCAAATTGTGAATAATTGAAATTTTTTGACCTAATGAAGCATTAATAAAAATAAAGTAATTTCTCAAATTACTGTTTTGATTAAAGAAACTTTTTAATATTTATCTTTTCAATTCCAAAATAGATTTTGAAAAGATATTATCTATTTGATTAAAATATCTCACATTTGGATTAAAATATCTACAAGCCCACAAAGAGCTAGATCAGTTCGAACATTCATGTTACCCACATAGTGCACCTTTGCACATTTAGGAACCAACAATTGGTTCCACATTTTCCTCAACAACGTTTGGATCGATTTCTCATTCAAAGCTCCAAAATTATTAACAACAAAAATTCCAACAATCCCCTACATGAATGAAATTGATCTTTTATCAAAATCATTTTTACTCGAAGTGGTGATAGACTCTACGATCAATAGTTGCATAGGATAGGTAGGTGTCCTCCTTTGAACCTTCCCTTATGATAGTATATTTACTTTACTAGTTGACAAGTAAACGTGATGTACTTGAACTATTCTGCCATTTGTGTAAACGATGATATACTTCACACAACTACCTCTCTGACAAGAAATTTTGTTCTCTTGGGTATGTCCCTAAAGCCATGGACATCGCCTGGTTTTGTAAGAGTTTGAAAGAACTATGCATAATAGTCTCCTTAAAGCGACCTCACTCCACTCTCACATAGGTGACTTATGTTGCTCGACTCTTCGAA